ATCAGGTTCATCAATATTAGCTCTATATTGACACAATACAGTAGATTGTTGAACAAATGCAGCTAATACCATTGCTGGACCAGCTGCTGTTACAATTTGATCTTCCTGGCACAAAATACAAGTTTTATAAGTTTCTTCACCAGAAATTCTTAATGTTTGTCCAATACCAACAGCAACTGGTGTTTTTTGAAGACATTTTTTTGAATTCATACTTGAGTCTTGATCATTAGATTTATTTACATCTAAAATAGGTTCTTCAAACAATTCAGCATTCTTTTTCATAAAATGTTTCTGCATTGCAGCCATTTGTGCCATTATTCTTGCACGTTTTTCTGCTGCCATTTTTGTCCTCCATTCTTTATCAGTTTCAACATTTTCATTTGTAGTATTTTCTGTATGTGGTGCAATAGGTGTTGTACTAACTTCCATTGGAGTATTACCAGCAACTTCTCTATATTTTTTTAAAATCCAAGTTAATAAATCTTTATGAGCTTCTATACGTGGACTATTACATAAATCTTCTAATAATTTATAAATTTTCCATTTTGTAGCTCTTGTTGTAAAAGCGAAAAAAGGATAATAACCAGATTCTTGTTCTTGAAGAGCATACCCAATAAGATGCAAAATTTTATGTACTTGTGATTCTGAAAATCTACGAGGTCTACAATTAAGTGCTCTTTCTAATACAACTTGCATAACGTGTAACATAACATCACATTGCAATAAATTAGTTACCAAACTAAATACTTCTGTTAATTTAGGAAGTTTAGGAGGTGGACAACATTCTAATTCTCCTAAAGCTTTTCTTCGTTTTCGTTGTGTTTCTTCAGAGTTACTTACTTCTTCTTTTGTATAATGATAGAAGAATACATTATATTCTGAATACAAGTGAGGTTTTAGTTCATATACTCCTTTCCCTCCTGATATTTGAGATGGTTTTTTAAAATCTGCAATATCTTGTATCACCCTTTCCATCTCAGTTTCCAAATATGTATCATCTGATAAAGTTTTACTAAGTTCTGAATGTGAAAGAGGTTTGATACATAATTGTTGAATAATTTCTTTTTTCAAAATATCATCAGCAGTAACTTGTCCAACTCCAAGTACATATCTTTCTCCTATTATTGTTATAAGTAATCCCAAAAATTCTTCAACTAAAGTCTGTCTGATACTCTCATCTTCAAAATATTTGACAGCATTCACATCAAAGTCTGGACTTGCCCATCGTAATAGATTAAATTTATTTAAAACATGAATCAAAAATTCATTACTTTCTATTAAAGATGCTCCAGCTTGAAGTAAGATAATATCTCTGTCTAACATTTCTGAACGACATTTAACATTATGATAGAAATATAACTGATTCAACAAAGAATATCCATTCCTTTTCCACATACCACTATGTACTTGCGCAATCATTACTTGAGTTGCTAAAACCGGTTCTATAATTTGTTCTAATGTTGGTTTTGTATGATTAATAAATTCTGCACATTGAAAATGTAAATCATGCATTTCAAGGTATGGAAACAGACCTGCTAAAAATCTGGAAAGTGGAAGATGTATAGATACTGGTTCAGATGATACATCATATTGAAGACATGTTGCACTATGATCTGCTAATTCTCCCACTTGAGGTGGACCAATTTCATGTCCTGGCTGTTCATATAGTCTTCTTAAAACTAGCCGAAAAGCTTTTATTAGAACAATTTGGTCTGAACCACACCATTGTAAAGCAAGACTAATAACTGGGGATAGTCTAATGTGTAAATTAAACGCAGATTCCCATTCAGGTTCATATTCCATATGTTGACCAACTTGTCTGACTACAGAATCCATACATTGCATACTACTAAGTAATGTAAGTAAAAGTGAAAGTCCTTGTAAAAAACTTTTCCTCAATTCATCAGTCCAAACATCTGGTTTAGAACTTAATAAATATCGTAAATCTTGAAGAATATATATAGCTCTTTTAAATGAAGTATTAGGAGTATCTCTTTCAAATTCCAACTTTCCTGCTGCATTACATCTTCGTGAACTTTCCGAAATAAAAGTATTTAATAAAATAAACAGCACATCATGATGTGCAATAAGATGGTGTGCTAATGTTGGAACAGTAAATAATTGTACAGAAAATGAAACAATAGAGAATGAATGATCATGATCATCTCTTATGTAATCTTTCATAATAGAACCATAATTATATGTAAAAACAATTGCTAAAGCTTTTTTACTTTCATATTCCATAAGCATTCCAGACATCAATAATCTGTGCCATGCTGTTCTTGCAGATTTCCATAGCTGTGAATCTTTCATAAGTATACCTTCTACAATGGAAATAACTGGTAATTTTGTATTAAGTGCAACATTACTAAAAAGCACTCTAAAACCTTCACAAGGATTTATAAATTGCTGTAACCAGTGTAAAAGTTTCATGGCAAATATTTGATGAGCAATTACATGAGCATGAACAACAAGTACCTTCAAAGCTCGATTGCTATGTCTAGAAGTAAATTTTTCAATTTCATTCTGTAAGTCTTTACATTGTTGAAATTCAGCACATTTTACAATAGCTCTACCATCTCTATCAACATTTGTTACAAATTCTAGCGCGTCTCTTTGTGAACAATTCATAACACGCGTAAGTGTAGAAATTACCTGATCAAATGTATGAGTTTCATCATTGAAAAGAACTGTACAATAATCATCTGTTGTTAATAGAAGTGACAAAGGATCATCATCTTCTTTATTATTGAAACACAAATCAGGAGGTAATCCAAGTGTATGTTCTAAAGATAACATTGTATGGCAATATCTTAATACTGCCTCAAAAGTTACCACTGCTCTTTCTGCTATATCTCCAGGTAATTTATTTCCACGAGATTCTTTAGCTTGAATTCCAGCTAAATGTATATTACAAAATGGTTCTTTTTTCCAAGCTTCTATATCTCCACAATCACAAAATCCTCCACCACTAGAAGTACCCATTCTATACTTATGATTACGATGAGCTGATTGCTTAAAACAATCTGCACACAAGACACATGTCGAATCTACACCACATTCTCTACAACTATATGTAGCTTCGCCCATTTTGAACACTTTACCACATATCACATTATCCATTTGACTTAATTCTTTCAATATAGTCTTTGGATCTCCATTGCAAATAAATTCCTCTAAAGTATTGAAAAGTATTTTTTGTGCTGTTTCTTCATCAAAAACCCAATCTAAACAATTACTATTTGGTTCTGGACTATATATTTTTGGCACCCATACTCGCCAATGTTCATTAAAATGAGTACAAGTTAATACTCCTTTGTTCATTTTTTCCATCCACACATTCACACAAGAATGACTAAAATTTTCAAAAGTGAGCAAAGATGATGGTGCCTCCATATCTTCAATATCTTGATGTTGTTTTTGTAAACTTTCGTTACTCATTATTATAATTTGTCAAAACAATGTATACTGAAATCATAAATATTATAAATAAAAGTTTATATCTATATTTCTTAATATTAATAATTTTATAAATATTCAATTATAAAAATTATAATACATAACATTAATTAAAAATAAATCTTTTCTTATTTTTTTAATTAAAAAACTCTTATAATATTAATATATTAAATGAATATATTTTATATGTTGTTATATGTTGTTATTGCAATAAAAATTAAATTTTGATACAAATTTAATAAATATTGTTATACTAACCACAATAATGCATAGAATCAACAGAATTCTTGATATAATGTAGCAATGTAAAATAGATGCATTTTATAGTGTTTTTCACATTATTATTTGATCTAATATATCAACATTAAATATATCAAAAACATTCGTGAAATTTGATTAATTATATTACATATGACATTTAGTCCATATAAATTATGTAATTTGATATAATTTTATTACTTCACATAATGCTTTCATTTCTATTCAATCATGAAAATCATCTGAAAATATGTAATAGGTTACCAATAATTTATTAGCAAAAAAATTTATACACAATATAATGACATTTTCTGATTTTAATTATTAAAATATTAATATCTATATTTAATTTGAAATACTATTTTTTTATGAAAAGAGATATCTAAATAAATCGAAAAATTAAAATTCATTACTTTCATAATAGGTAAAAATTAAAAATTATGTTATAAAATTTTGTATATTACACAGACCAAACAACATTTCGATTTAAAAAACTATTTTATAACTCTAGACAAATTTTTCACTAAATCGAACTATTTTTAACTTTCTCTGAAGACGATACTTACTGTTATGATGATCAGGCCAAGGTTAATAAAAGATATTGGAAAGTTCTTTGTTACACAAAATCTGTATGTGATTTTTCAACAACGTGCGTGATAATATTTATTAGCAGTCGTCTTACAATAATTATATGTTCGCGTCAAAGACGCGGTTATGCGATAATACCAATCAATCAAGTTTTGACATTTCAAAATGAAATGATAAGCACTACTTTTATACACTTACTTGAACAATGCACAAAATGGCTTTTATGAAGTTTAGAGACTAAAATCAAACATATATTAGATGTGCTTTCGCTTTAATATTTACTGTTGACTGCAGCGCTAAAAAAATTGATAAGCATATAAGTATCAGATATTTTTTGATATAATAAATTTTAACAAATTTCTTTAAGTATAACAAAAAGATTAATTATAACATTAAAACATATAAAATTTAAACTTTATAAATAATAATATATTCAAAAATTTATTTATCTAAATTTATATATATTACATATATATATTACATATATATATAGTAAATATTAATTTCTTATATAATAAATAAATTCTATTTTAACACTTAAAAATAATATTGATTATAAAATATTACAACATATGAACTTTAATATATTATTTTAAATATTTATAACATAATAATTCATCAATAATATATAAAGTAAAATTTATTAAATATAAATTACTTTCATAATATATAACAATTTATTATATATGCAAGCATGCACATAAAAATTAAACTTTAGTTTGGATTCAAAATTTAAATTTCGTTAAATTTAATTTAAAATTTAAACTCTGTATAATATAATATTTTATTTGCAGAAATTTTTAATTATTTTACATTAATTTATTAATATTTATCATTTGTTCTTTTTACAATTAATTTGAATTTAATGAGTTGACAACATTGATTTACTAGTAGGGAATTTATTCATATAGAACCAATTGGTTCCTGTTCTTTTCAGTTCATAACGTTGTTGTAAAAACACGTGGTAAAAAGTGTAATTATTAAATTTAAAGCAAAATAAAAACATAATCAGGTAAGCAAGGACTCAAACTAAATATTAAATTATATATATTATAAATATATAAAAAATTATCATTTATTTTTACTAAATTTCCTTGCATTAGTGTATGTCTACAGCATCAAAATGCATGTTACTATTGTATGTAATTATAAATGTTCAAGAAATATATATAATGCATAATATATTTATATATTATTTATATATTATTTATATAAATATATAATGCATAAAGAATTGTTTATAA